ATTTCTAATGTAAAATGTCCCTGAACAAAAAATATGAAAATAAATATGAAATAGTTCCTAACCTCCAGAATTCCATTGTCTAGGAGAGGAAACACATGTGCAGCAGACCATAATATATAGAGAGAACTGATATGCGAGTTTATGTGTAGTGTTTGGAAACCAAAGGAGGTAGAGAGATGGATTCTCTCTATAATAAGATAGAATTAAGGTGATAACAGAAGTGGCATTTAATTTAGACTTTAAAGTTTGTCAGTGGTTAATAGCGTTAGTGGCAATATCTCTGTGTAAAGAATGAAAGATGATGTTATGTAAATGAGCAAGGAGACACACAGGCTGTAAGAAAGTGAATGAGGACTAATACACAGCAGGTACATTAGTCTGGTTTCACACTACTGTAACGATATTACCGGAGACTGGGTAATTTATAAACAAAAGAGATTTAACTGACTCACAGTTCCGCATGGCTGGAGAGGCCTCAGGAAACTTACAGTCATGGCAGAAGACAAAGGGGCATGTCTTACATGGTAGCAGGAGAGAGAGAGAGCGAGCAGGGGAAATGCCAGACACTTATCGAACAACCAGTTCTCATGAGAATCCCTCACTGTCGTGAGAACAGCCTGAGGGAAACCGCCCCCATGATCCATTCACCCCCACAAAGTCCCCCCCTTGACACAGGGGGATTACAATTCGAGATGAAATTTGGGTGTGGGTGCAGAGCCACATCCTATCAGTAGGCTAGGCTAGATATTGAAGAGTTGCAAATACTGAATTAGCAGTTTGGATATGGCATTGGCTAGCTGGGTAAGGCTTTAAACAGAGGAACACATGTATGTAAGTGCTTCACAAAGATAGTGCAGAAAGCAATGAGGAAGACAGAAGAGATGAGAATGAAATTAGGTAGGAGGAGTTTAGGAGTGAAATAAGGTGACGATTAAAGAGACGTTTATTTGGACAGTAAGAGCCGGCATTTAGAACTACAGAAAACAGCACAGGGAAGGGAGTGAGCTTTCAAATGTTTTTAAACCATCCTCAGTTCCAGAGTTTCGTATTCTTTTGTGACCCCCTCACTGAATGTCTTTGGTTTTTTTTCTAACCTAGTACAGCATTATATTGCAAAGCCCACTGCATCATTTCTTCTTTCATTTTGGATTGTTGGTCCTTGACTTGTGGTTATTAACCCAGAAATGATTCTTTCAGAAGAGGCTCAGTTGCTGGTGTTATCTCGACTTCCTTGCAGTGGCCTGTGTCAAGGGAATTTGTTTGAAAAGTAAAAAGTGTATCTCTGTGCTTTTGGCAACCAGGATCAAAACTCTGTCTTTCTTTGCTACACTTAACACCCTTTTAACTTCTCAGATCATTCTAACCAGTTCAGCTTCTGTTTTCTTGGTATTGAAAGTGCATGAATCCGTGTCATTGTATCCTGGCCCCTTGACCAAAATTACAAATACTGCATCGGGGCAACACTCCTAACTATTCTGTAGTCGCTTAAATATTAGAGAAAAAATAAATAAATAAACGGTCTATAGCATTTGACTTTCATCTCTTTTATGTAAATATGTATTTGATTTATTTCAAAATCTGAAATTAGTTTCTTACAAATACTTTTTGCTCCTCTTCTAACAAAAATAGGATAAGCAATACTTGGTAGTTTTTTGTGTCATGAATTAATGGTATACCAACATGAATAAATCTTGTAATATTCATTTTATTAAGTAGGAGATTATGTTGTTTGTTTTTGTCTAAGAAAATATATAAAATTATAAATGACTTGCTAGAAAATCAAGAAAAAATGTTTCTGAGTATCTTCACAACTTACAGCTCTTTAAACATAAAATTAAATTTATTTTCCTCTATTCCCATGTTGCATTTTGCAGAAAAAATTCATGTTAATGCCGATGATAGTCCTTATAAATGTTACTTTTTAACATAAATCTTAGTACTAAAGAGAAAACTGGAGTTCTTAAATAACTTAAAGGGCAAAGTAAGCAAAAAGAGCATTTAAATTAATAGAACTTCTTTAAAATACATTTATCTTATGTTATAAGTTCATTTGCTTTGATACTGTTTATACGTTTTTTGTTTGTGAATTTTTGTTGTTATTTGTAATTAAGTTTCTATTTTAAAATCTTGAAATAATTTTTGCCTTTTATGATATAGTGTAGTTTCTATGCAGATTATCTTTGGAGTCTGCATTAAATTCAAAGCATATTCACACTATTTCTTCAACTGAGTCTGTGATGAGTTTAAGAACACTAAGTTTGTTTTACTGAAAGTGTTCATTTCTGAATTATAGTAGCTTAAAATGTACATCACAACTCTCTTTTGGAAAATGATTGTGTAATGGTTTAAACAGTGTAAGAGGTGAACAGTACAGCACGTGCTTTGCTTATGTGTTGCAAACAGATACAGATTTTAAATGAGCTTCTTTCTTCTGCACAAAAAATGTTTAAAATGTACCTGATACTTGTATTTGGCTAAAGAAATCGTGATGAAACTTCAAGGAAGAAGCGAGGACAGCCTACTTGCTCGTTAGTATAGTGTGTACAGCAGATGAGATTTTCAATATCTACAACTCACTAGACCACTACATTTGTTTTTAGGTTCAATGGTAAATGGATGGGGCTCTGCATCTGATGAGGATCGTAACTTTTCTAGTCATAGATCTAGTGTAGGTAGCTCCTCCGATGGCTCTATCTTTGCCAGCGGCAGTTTTGCACAAGCACTGGTGGCAGCAGCAGATAAAGCTGGTTTTAGGCTGGATGGAACCAGCCTTACAAGAACAGGTTGGTAGACTCCAAGTTAACACTCTTTGCATGAGAGAATCTTGTCCTTGGACACTGACCTCTTTTCTCCTGTTCTTTCCCCTTAGTGAGTCTGACTGTAGGGCTTTCTTTAATGTGCATGAACACAATTTGGATGCTCCATTACCAAAACTCTCTTCTGATGCTACTTTTGCAGAGCCAAGAAAAGACTCCGCCTCTTTCTATCTCTGATTTTCCTTTCTCTTCACGGCTTTGCTGATTAATTGGAATAGTCTTCCTTTTTATATTACAGCAAAGCAGCAACTAAGATTGCCATTAAATTTTCAATAACTCACACTTTGCAAAATCCTCACACAATTAATGATGTACCCAGTGATTAAATTTACTCAGCTTTTATCTCCATTACTTTCCTTTGCCTCATCTCTTTCTGCAAATGCATTTTCTGGGAAGGTTTCCTTAGCATGGGGTAAATGGGTCTAAGGCTGTTGGTCTTACCAGTTCAAATAGCTTATGGTCTTATTAATCGTTTGGCTAGTAAGATTTTAATACAATAATTTATTATTTGTCTTAAAGGATGCTAATTAAAGATACACCCACTGCATTTGCAAGTTGAATAAAATAATGACTACATGTGTATTTCTCTTTAGGGTAATTTAATTTTGATTTCTGAGAGTGGTAAGTAATCATATAAAAGAACAATTTTATAATTTTTCAAGTGCTCCCCATTCCACAAAAAAGAATGTGGGATTAATAATAGATCAGTAATTTGTAAATATTTGAAACAAAGTAACTTAGGCATGATGCGTGCTTTTATATTTGTATGTATAATTCTTAACTATACATATAAGAATATTCTAATATATGAATTAAACTGAACTTCCTTGCAAAACAAACTAATAAAACATTAAGTACGTTTGCAAAATCTTAACTGTTACCAAATAGTAAAGAACAATGATTTTTACCCTTCTCTAAACTCTCAGGTTATAAAAATGAGTCACGGAAGTTTTCTTGGAATTATACCACCAATATTTCTTCTGAACATACATTAGCTATCTTTAAATGAAATAAAAAAATATCTTCCAAGCATTGCAGAGGTTTATTTTTCAAATAGCATCCAAACTAAAATATGTTGTAATAGAACTGTTATTTGAATTGTCTTGCATTGTAAGGAATAAGTCTGAAACTTTATGTTGCTTGAGTGCTTTTTGTGGCATTAGCTGTAAGCAGAGCAGTGAGAACGTGCAAGGAAACTAATACATTAGAAAGCATAAGTGCATTTCTTGCATGTATGCTAATAGCTAATAAAGCATTAAGTAATATCCTGTCACATCGACTTAAGAAAATGTAACTACATACAATAATGTTGTATGAAATGAAAACATACACAGGAGAGTAAATACATGCACATAAACCAGGCCTCTGTTACTATAATAAACATGGTATTAAAATTGTAAGGTGTTGAAAATTTATTAGCTAACCTTTTCCCAGAATATATTTCCCTGTACACCTACTCTAAACCACAAGAAAAGGACACAGCACATATCACTTTTCAATGAGAACTTGGAAGCTGCTCAGATACCATAATATTCACCAGAAAATACCTATTGCACGCTGGGTATACAAGGTGATTCTAACCTGTTGCCCTCTACACAGATGTTATTGAGTTTATGCCAAAAGAGATAGAAGTCATCGTGTGTGTGCATAAGTGGTAAGGTCAATTTAATATACGTGTCTGAGCAGACCTTTCATGTAAAATTTCAGATGTAATTACCATATGGCATTTTTCTGTGTTCAGAGAGATTTTGTAAGTTTCCAAGGATGAAATTTTATTAAACGAATAAAACAGTATATACTTCATAGATAGCTTCTTTAATTTTAAGAACTAAAAGCTGCATGAATTTGCATACATCTTTGAAAATATCACTAATATTGTCAAGGTTAAATAGAAGTATAATCATGCAATATTGAGTTTTGGATTGGTGAATCTGTTTTATGTTCATTTGTTTGATTTTTGGGGAGGGTCAGTGGGGGTGTTGTTAGCTTATTAAAAATTGAACAAAATACGTGCACCTAAGAATGTAGAAAATATATTTTTCTACAGAGATGCACCAATATTTGCTATCTTCAAGTGTTATCTCTAGGTAGATTTACAGGTTAGTCATAGAGCAGGAATACAGGACAGAATCAGCAGGCTATAATGACATTCTCTAGAACCCATTCCCTTTATTTTCATTTTAGGAAAAGCCTTTACCTCCTCTCAAAGACCTCGACCTACCAGCCCATTTTCTACTGACAGTAACACCAGTGCAGCCGTGAGTCAAAGTCAGAGGCCTCGGCCCACTAAGAAACACAAGGGAGGGCGGATGGACCAACAACCAGCATTGCCTCATCGAAGGGAAGGAATGACAGATGGTAGGTTTCTTTCCTTTTCCCTCGTTTTCTCACTGAAGAGACGTGCTCCATGCAGTCAAGTACTTAGATTAATGTAGTCATGGTGGCTTAGCCATTGCCTCATTACATAACAAGACAAACCTGGCAATATGGTCCTGTTTAAATAAAACACCATTTTTAAAAACAATCTAGAATTATTTCTGTTATTAAGCCTCAAGAAATACATGCCATACAATTTTTTGAGGTTGATTTTTTGTTTGCCATTCTGGCATCTTTCATAAATGCTTTTTAGTGAGCATTTTACTTTAAGAGTAGGAAAGAAAACATAAGCTGCATGTGCATTTATATTGTCAGAAATTTTATAATATTAAATTACAATATCTTAGCTGGTGTTTCACTCTTGGAAAAAAAGACTTTTTGAAATGATATAGTAATTTTTTAGTCACAAATTTCAGAGCCAAAATCAGGCTACAGGTCATGTAGTTGAAGAGTGTCTTAGTCTGTCTGGGCTGCTATAAAAAACAGAGTCCTGCATTGTACGACAATGTTTCGGTCAATGACAGACTGCATGTGAGACAGTGGTGCCATAAGGTTAAAATGCTGTATTTATGCTCTACCTTTTTTGTTTAAATACACAAATATAACACCATTGTGTTATAACTGCCTGTAGCACTCAGTACAGAAATATGCTGCACAGATTTTTACCCCAGATCAATGGTATGTAGTCAGCTATCCCATCTAGGTTTGTGTAAATACACTGCATACCACTTGCATAACAACGAAATCACCTAACACCACATTTCTCAGAACTTATCTCCATCATTAGGTAACATGTGACTGTACCATAAGCTGGCAGATTCCGAACAACAGAAATTTTCTGCACAAATCTGGAGTGTGCAGAGTCCAAGATCAGGGCACCGGCAGATTTGGTGTCTGGTGAGGACCCACGTTCGGTTCACAGAGGGTGCCTTTTCGCTGTGTGCTAACATAGTGGAAGGGACAAGGTTCTCTCTGGGTGTGTCTTACAGGTGCTCATCCCTTCAGGAGGACCCCACCCTCATTACCTAATCACCTGCCAAAGGCCCCACCTCCCAATATCATCACATTGGGATTAGGATTTTAACGTATGAATTTTGGGGGTACACAAACATCCAGACTCTAGCAGAGGGTCAGAAAACTTCTTCTATTAAAGTCTAGATAGTAAATATTTTTGGCTTTTGGGACATATGGTCTCTGTCACAACTACTCAACACTGCCATTGTTGCATGACTGCAGCTATAAAAAAAGTAGAATAGGCCAGGCATGGTGGTTCACGCCTGTAATCCCAGCACTTTAGGAGGCTAAGGCGGGCAGATCACAAGGTCAGAAGATCAAGACCTTCCTGGTCAACGTGGTGAAACCTCCTCTCAACTAAAAGTACAAAAATTAGCTGGGCGTGGTGGTGCATGCCTGTAATCCCAGCTACTCGGGAGGCTGAGGCAGGAGAATTGCTTGAACCAGGGAGTCAGAGGTTGCAGTGAGTTGAGATCATGCCCCTGCACTCCAGCCTGGGCAACAGAGCAAGACTCCTTCTAAAAAAGAAAAGACAAGTAGAATAATGGATATGACTGACTTCCAACAAAACATCATTCACAAAATGGGCAGTGGCTGGATTCGGCCCACGGTCCCTAGTCTGCTGATCTAGCTCGATCTTTTTATTTATATATAGCATCCAGTATTTGAATATTTGCTTAAACACTGTTAGTTTCAAGAAACACAATGTTACTGGAAGATATCCATGCTCTATAATGAGTATTTCATTAGCTTTACAGAATATAGTCTATTTCCCATATTTTTAATTTAGTTCTTATATCTTTTAAAGAATGAATTAAAATATATATACTGAAGTTATAGTCTAAGGATATGTAACACATACTTAAAGTGTCTACTACAATGTCAGATTGAAAGGTAAATTTCTTTTTCCTTTTTAGCACTATACCCTATAAGCGCACAAACATTATCCTAACATAGTTCAATTAAACACCAAAAGGATAAACTTTTAAAAACTGCACAATAGAACCATCTGGGAAGCTCTAAAATATATCCTAGATATTCAGATTTGATTATTCTGGGGTGAAACCCAGTTACAGGTAATTTTAAAGCGCCACAAGAGAACCTGAAGTGTACCTGTCTTGGAGAAGCTATGACCGAGTCCTTAGCACACTTACACTTACCATTACAGGACAGAATGAAGCTTCGTTGAAAAAGAAGAAAAGCATTTGTTTTTTATTCATTTGGGGAAGGGAGTATCCAATCCTGCAGCCCTATTTGTGCTTTCTTTTGTCATCTTACAAAGGTAAGAGGACTTAAAAAGCCAAATAGATTTGTTCTACATGCTTTCCAGTTTACTTATCTTTCCTGCTTCCTTTGTTTTCAATGGAATATGAAGGTTTAGGGTACAATTGAGATTTTTGAGTCTCTGTAAATGGGTATCCTGTGGTGAGTAAAAATGTTCACCCCTGCCTTTCTGCTTAGATGTTCCGAAAATTAGCTGAGCACTTAAAACTGTTTGTAGCGTTGATCTAATTCTTCGTAAATAAAAAAGGACTGCTGTCACTGAATTGCTAGTTATAAATCTAATAGTTGATAATTTTGTATTTTTTTTTCTGTTATGAATATTGTGGAAAGAGAAAAATGTCTAAGTATAGAATTTTCTGTGGTTTTTCAGAAATGTTTGAAGATATTCAGAATATGTGGAAGATATAAAATATAAATCAACAAAATAGAGATTTCTTTTTTCCTGAAACACTTTTATTGCAAGCTTTTTAAGAATGTTTCCTTAAAGCAAGCTGCCTCCTAGTTTAAAATATGATCAATATATTGCTTATTTTTCTAAAAAATAAATAAGTTTCTAAATTTTCAAATTTGCCAGCATCTCAAAAAGGGGTTATGGATAATGTGTTATTAGAAAATGATACATTTTAGAAGTAGCGATATAGCAAAGGAAATTTCAGCCCATGTATCTCCTCAAGTGCGTAATCCAAAGCCATTTTAATTATGATGTGGTGCAAAGACATTTATTTTGGATGGTGCTTTACAGGTTATCCTTAAGCACGCTGTTATTTTGCAGCAAATGCATGTGTCATAGCATTTATATGGTATGGATCTACATGTCAGCAATAATTTCATAACGTTTTATATAAAAATCAAGTTGTTCTTTTTGGGAAGGCTGATGCCTAGCAGCCTTGAGTGTACAGACATTTTACAATAAACCTTTTGCATTATAGATTTTACAATAGTGTTTGCTGCCTTCTAAGCAGTAATGTAAAGATGCAGGCCTTTTCAGAACCGGAAACCATCATTTTCTAGATCAGACGTTTACGGTTTCTGAGGGGAAGACAGAACATGAGTGGTTGTTGGGAGGCTGTAATGGCAAGTGGCATCACTTCTCCTGTTTCATTGGCAACAGCTCTGCCACGTGGTGTCAAACTAACTACTGGGGTGAGAAAGCAGCTTTCCCTGTGCCCCATAAGAAAGATTATTAGTGGCGGGAAATGTCAGTCTGTATCCCAAAGACTGAAAAATCCCACACACATCTTAAAGGGTGTTCTTTTCCCTTTTGTAAGTTTCTCCAAAGCAGGCATTCCTGAGTCCAAATCTTGTATTCCATTTGTCTTATAAATCAAAGAATACCCTTGAAAGCCAATATATTGACCAATGCTAAAAACGGAAGATAGATCTGTTTACCCATCAACCTGTTTTTCCTAGATAATTTGTTTCCAGCCTATTCTCCCTTTCACCTAGCCTTTTTTTTTTTTTTTTTTTGAGAGGGAGTTTTGCTCCTGTCATCCAGGCTGTAGTGCAATGGTACGATCTCAGCTCACTGCAACTTCTACCTTCTGAGTTCAAGCGATTCTCCTGCCTCAGCCTCCGAGTAGCTGGGATTACAGGCATGCACCACCACAATCAGCAAATTTTGTATTTTTGATAGAGACAGGGTACCATGTTGGCCAGGCTAGTCTCGAACTTCTGACCTCAGGCTATCTGCCCACCTCCACCTCCCAAAGTGCCAGGATTATAGGCATGAGCCACCATGCCCGGCCCCTTTCCCCAAGTTCTTAATGTCCTGTTCAGAGAAGGGGCCCTTTCTCATCCCTGCCGCATACTAGCTTTGGCCTTTGAGCAAATTTACTTACTAGCGTTGGCCTTTGAGCAAATAAATTTACATATTTATTATTCACTCAAATACTTATTAAGCATATAACATATAATAGACAATGGGAGCCAAACAGACAAAAATCTCCTGCCTTTTTATATTTTAATTAGGGAAGATAGATGAAGACCAACCTAAGCACATACATGAACATGTAAGTAAGATGGTGATAAATGTTATGGGGTAGAAACAAAGGGAAGGGAGTTGAGAAGTATAGGTGTAGGGAGGAAGTATGTTTAAGTAGAGTGACTGGGGAAGGCCTCACCAAGAAGGCAGCATTTGAGAAAAGACTGGAATAACATCAGCGAAAGAGTAATGCTGATATCTGAGGAAAGGTTATTCCGGGAAATGAGAATGGCAAGCCTGAGACTTATTTGAGAAAAAGGAAAGGGAACGATACGACTGGAGCAGAGAGAGAAACAAGATAGAATACGAAGTCAGGCAAGCAAACAAGGGCCAGTGTTTGTCAGACCTTTAAGCTACCATAATGACATCAGCTCTTACTTCGAATGGTAAACCACTGGACGGGGTGTGTATGTATGTGCATGTGTGCATGCATGTGTGTGTGTTTAAGGCAGGGAAGTGACATGATCTTATTTATGTGTTTGTTTTTTAAAAAGTAATTCTAGCTGCTGTGTTGAGATATACTAAATGAGGCAAAGTGGAGATTGTGGAAGCTGCCAAAGTGGAGAAGAGATGATGGTGGTTCATGCCAAAGGAGAGTCAGTGGCAGTGTTAAGAAAGGTTGGATTTTGGAGGTAGAGCTAACGGGAGCTGTTATGAAATAAACATAGGCCATAAAGAAAGGAAACCACATTACTCTGAAATGTTGGCTAACTTGTAGAATGTAACTGTGACCAACCAAGAGAAGAAACACGGCAGAGGAAGCATATTTTATGTAGGATGATCTGGAGCTGAGTTTTGATACATGAAATTTGAGAAGCTTTCTAAACACCTAAGTGGAACTGTCCAGTGTAGATCTGGTTATATGAGTCTGGAGTGTATAGGAGGAAAGATCCAAGCTGGAGATTTTTAATTTCTTTTTGCCTTCATTTTCTTATCTGAAAATGGAAGGTAATAATGGCACCTATCTCATCGGACTGTTGTGTGCCTGAAAAGAGCTAATCCTCAGTAGGCCAGTAAGAGACTTTTTAGTGAATTGATCTGGTTGAAATGAATCAACATAGAAATGAGTAATAAATTTAATTTAAGTAAATGTATTTGATTACATACTTTTATTTTTCAAAAACCCATTCTTAATCCCATTTCTTTTTCCAATTAGTTTATTTCAATGTGCATGTAATGTCCTTTCTTCTTAAAATATACGAACTCCAAGGATATTTCTTATGAAGCTATATAATTTTTGGTTAAATTAAATAATAATCAGAATTTTAGCTGGCATAAGCAGATGCTGTTTTGGCCATTTTAAAAACGAAGCTGCTCTGATTGAGAATAAAAATCAATGACAAGATAAGTTATTTTGGAAGCAAATACAATCATTTCTGCTCACTGGCAGTCTAAGTTCAATAAATCAAATGAAATAATTTGCATTTATAATAACATATAGTGAAGGAAGTCAGTACTATCGAATATGAAGGAAACACCAAACTCATTGGATTATCCAACAAACAGATATCTCAATATTGGATTATTTCTTCATTTTGGAAAAATATTCCAAATGCAACTTTATCCTCCCAACCAGAGACCCTGTTCCCTTCAGTTATTAGCAATTCATAATTTAACATGAGGACACACGTAAGAACTGGCAATGCTGCTCCATCTTAGGAACTCAGAGGAGATGCTCCAGAGACCAACATTATCAGTTCAATGGAGAATAGTATCATTTTGCTCATAAAAGAGAGTATAAAGGTTCTTGAAGTCTTTGAAAGGAATGGCTTAGCTGACTGTTAAGGAAGCTATCTTTTGTCTACAAGAAATTTATACGTTTTCCTTCTAAATTTCACAAACAGAATGTTATTAGAAACAACAGAATACATTTACAAAAATGGCATCAGAAATAATTGACTACGTTATGTACAATATCCTCTATTAATGAAATAAATGTGTATTTTATATGATATTTGGTCTTTATGAAAAAATAATATAATTACCAATATTCTAAGGATGAACAAAGAAGTTTACAATAGCATGCAAGAAAAATGAGAAGAAAATGATCCAAATTGATGTTCAGAAGATTTCAAAATCTTCAGCAAAGTAATTTCAGAACTAATGCATACTTAAAAGTGAAAGAAAGGACTATGATTTCACAATCGAAGACATACAAAATATAAAGCTATTATGATCTGAAGAGTTAATAAAAGAGAGATGAAAAGGGAGCTGATATTGGAACCTTAAATGTTTTCCTATCTGATATTTACTTTAAAGAGCTTTTCTGAAAAATTATCTCTTCTACTCTATCTCAAATTTCTGTGATGCATTGTCTTCTCTAGCACCATAAAACACATTCAATCTTTACTCTGAACATTGATTATTACTTATTAAAATTAATACATTGGAAGATTATAATATATTAGTTGTAACTCATTAGCTAACTCATGAAACGAACAGCCAGAATTGGTTGTCAAGCAGAATGTTAATTGCATTTAATAAATGTTAGCTTAGTGTTGTTAAATGTGCCACATACATGGGTAAAGGCGTCATATCGTTCTGAATTTCCCGAGGGGGACATTCCCTTTGGAGACCTTTTGTTCTCGGGGCCTTGTGCTAGCAAGGAATTTCTAGTGATCTTATTTTGTGTCATGGTATTTCTTGGGGAAGGAGGGTTGGACAGTGGATTGAACATAAACAGTGAACTGCCCTTTACACCTTGCATGATAGCCTCAATATGCAACTGAAAACACTTCCCACATTTAACTGTTGAGCAACACTAGTCAATTTTGTTTCAATGATGCGATGGCCGAAAGACAGCAGAGAGCGCAATAATATGAGCTTTGGAAATAAACAGTTGACTTTCATTTTCCCCAAATTTCTTTTGTATGGGTAATACCTGTATGAGGGCAAAGATTTTCTTCAACGTGAACTAAAACCTGTATTTTTCATTAAATTTTAGTCCATTCTAAACATTATTCAAAATTTTTAGATCTTCCACCACCACCAGATCCCCCGCCAGGTCAGGGTCTCAGGCAGCAGATAGGCTCGAGCCAGCAGGCTGGTAACGTGGAAAACTCAACAGAGAGAAAAGGAAGCTCTCTGGAGAGACAACACGCATCCGCCCTGGAAGACACAAAGAGCTCACTGGATGGTCCAGCTAGAACCTCCCTAGAGTGGCAGCGGCAAACCCAGGAACGGATAAGCTCCACAGAACGACAGGAAGAGACACGGAAAGCCCCACACAGACAAGGGGTCGGATCAGGTGTGTCCTGCACAGTCCCAAGAAAGTGTGGACTGTGACCATTTCTTTTCCTACCAGGTATTCTGGAAAGGGCAGTTGTTTAAGGGCATCTGAGAAACATTTGCCTTCGATCAGTAATGGAATTTGGAATTCCTTGGCAGAGTTTTCCAGTACATGCCTTAAGGCTGATTCCAATGGGCAGTGTTCCTCAGTCAACCTCTCCACAGGGCCTCTGATCTCCAGAGACTTGCAAGCTTCATCTAAACTGCTCAGTAGAAAATTTTACTTTTTGGCCTATTAATGTTTATATTGAGTACTTTAAAGATCGCTAAATTTAATCGTTTGTGTCAGTTTAATCTCTGCCTTCAGCAAGTTTGTTCATTTTGACTGAAGTAACCAGTCATTCGAAAGGAGAACTCACATCAAATAGGTGAATTCATTAAAATTACAAAGTCGCAGAAAAATGCCCCATCACAGACCCTCCAGTTAGATAAGGTTATACTGGGCGTGCACTTTCTCCAACTGTTAATCAGTTGATTGATTTAGTTGATTGTTAATGTGTCTATGGGAAGTGCTTTTTTATAAATCAAGCTTCCTGGAAATGTCACAGAAATAAATTTCATTGTTTGTAGTTAGATTTTTTTGGGGGGCCGGGGGGTCGCGGGAGGTGGGGAGCCTATTTTATAAATGTATTTTCTGAGATATCTCTTCTCATGTCAGGATTCATTGAGTATTGAAACACACACATACACATAGACACAATCTTTGAAAAAATATATTTTCACTTATTCATTTGGACTTAAAGTGTTCTAGATAGGCCTCTCTCCATGCATTTTCCTTAACTCCATTTTGACACAACTTGATGCTCAAGTTTTTGGAAAATGTCATTGGTGCAAGGGCCAGTAGATGACAATTTTAATATCTAGGTTTAGTGGAACATTTAGAAAGTTTACACCATTCAGGCTGTGAGAGAAAAATCATGTGGTTCTTGTCATTAGAGACTATGTAAGGGGAGAAATAGTAAATTCAGTTGGCATTAATCATAGAATAATAGCCCATACATAGAAAGAAAGTGAAAAACAGAGGGGATGGGGTGTGGAGTGGGAGCAGTGAGAATAAAGAGGGAAAGAAAAAACAATTTTTGAACTATTAAGTGATTATTTGTAACATATGTCATGAGTTATTTGTAGAGAGAACAATCTGTAAAAAAAAAAAAAAAAATTAGCATATTATTTATTTAAATGTGTGAGTTTCTCTTTTTCTTTTAAGGAAATACATAGTCCTTTAAATATTGTATTTCTGTCTCAAAAAGCAACATAAATTTTAAAAGCTTATTTAATTAACTAAGATATAGTTCTTTATTTAAATCAATTGAGAAAATGTTGCCATAATTTCAGCTGAAACAAAAACCCAGTTTCTTTAATCTTAATGGGAAAATTAAGTTGGAGCCTCATTGAACTTTAGAAATTATTCTCAGATATGCTTTTGTTAAACAAACTGTAGTTCATTGTATTCAGCCCTCTTTTACAATGAATTTAAATTTTGCAAATAATATATAACATTGTGTATTTATCCCAAGATCTCTTTTCATTTAATTCTGCTTCAGTTCCTATTGTAGGAAATGTTGCTTGCACATAGAAATTTCTTTAATATCCGGTCCTGATTAAACTTCATAATTTTAATTTTACTAAAGAATGAAATGGTAAAGCAGGCCATTCACAGTGTAATATTTAAGAGGTTAGTTTGCCTCCATGTTGCTGTTCAACTTAGCCCTTGGGGTTTTTTTCTTTTTCAGAGGAGGCCTTGGTGCCCTATAGCAAGCCCAGTTTCCCATCTCCAGGCGGCCACAGCTCATCAGGCACAGCTTCTTCTAAGGGATCCACTGGACCTAGGAAAGCTGAGGTGTTGAGAGCAGGCCACCAGCGCAATGCCAGCGACCTTCTTGACATAGGATACATGGGCTCCAACAGTCAAGGACAGTTTACAGGTGAATTATGTAAGTGCTGTAGGTCATTTAAAAGGCTGTTGTGATTCAGAAAGAATCTTGCGTTGATAACATTGCCATATTAAACAAATTTCAGGTTAATAGAAAATTTGCTCTGCTACGAAAACAATCAATTGCAATTTTCAGCAAGTTTGGTCATGACTTAGGCCATGGCTGTATTTATTGCTGTCCGTTTTTATAAATGTTTCTGCTATTTTAAGTTTGATTTATGCTATAAAAATTGTTTTAAGTTAGTCGATTAGTCTTAATACTTGTAAGTGAAATTAAATATAGTGTATTTGTCATTTTCTTTGCCTTTTTAACTGAACACAATAAAGAAAGGGAGACACTGGCCTTTTGGTAGTTTTAAAGAAACTCCTAAGGAATTCTTCATTTTCAAGTTGCTCTTCATTTATTTTTTAAATTTGGGTAGCCACCCTTGAAGAGTTGATCTTTGATTATTAATTAATTTGTAATATTTTGACTACAATAACATTTTATAAATAAATTTCCATTTATGAATGAAAACTGGCACAGTTAGTATAATTAATTTTCTAAATGTAAAATACTAAGTAATAGGGAAAGTTAAGAATGTCACAGCAAAAAATGTTGAGCTCCTTGTGTTAATTTCCTCAGGAAAGTTACCAATACAGCTTTTCATTATCAGAAATATATTTGCTGGATATTTTTAACTGCCTCTTTGAATTCTGTTTAAAAGCATTGCTGAGAAAACAGCCCTGTTTCTAATATTCTCAACCCCTTAACTGGTTATTGGACATGAGAAAGTAATCTGTCTTCCTAATCTATTTCCTCATCAGAAAAATAGCATTACCATTATCTTCACGTCACAGATTGTTTGGAAGATTCCATGAGATAATGAAAAGAGAAATAATTTCAAAACTGTTAATTTCTTTATTGATCTCAGTTGTCATTGTTGTTGGCTATTGCCAATCTATGATTAAGATTTGTTTATAATTTTAATTTGATTCATAACTACTTGAATTTTTCTTTACCTTTTTTTTGAAGTAATGACAGATGCACAAGAGTACCAAAATAGTTCTATTGGGTGTTTAAATTTCCAAATTCTGTAGTGTTTCTTTTACTCGTTGATCATCTCCTTCAAGTAAAATTACTTAAGTTCACAAACTCATCTATCTGAATACCTTATTTTCATTGATTATCTGTTTGCTTTGCTTTTTGTTTTGCTGGTCCAAAAAGTAGAATGCTTAATTTACATTTTATTTCTTTTTTTTTTCTCTCTCTTTAGAGTAACTGAGAGGAGACATACAAAGCTGCTCTGAAGGACCATCAGGTCCGAACTCATGGAAGTGATGACACTAAACAGTGCAATGAACAATTTCTTTATTTATGTACTATTAAAAGAACTGTAAATGCAATGTAAAGACACACAGCCACACATATCCCACAGATATTTTAATTGTGTTCTTCTCTTAAGTACACCACCCACCTTAACTCTTTCTTGTCAGGAGTATATAAAAAAGAAAGAAAACAAAACTCGCCCTACAGGAAGAAAAGGATTTTCCTCTGTATATAATTTCTTTTGTGCATTGCTATGCAAGCTCACTCTTTTTAGCTCTGTTCATATTATTGTCTGTTCTTATTGGTCTGTTGTACTATATGTGAATTAATAGGCTGTGGTGCCATATATTAACTTTTAATTGTGTAACTTTTATGTTTAAATTTTGCACTGCAATTTTATTTGGTGATAAGCACAAGTCTCTACTCCTCGTGACATGAAGAAAAAGACTGAATGTGAAGGGAGTTTCTGTACTGTAAGCTAGATTGGATAATGATGGTTGTAACAAATCATGTTAGATGGTTTTCAGTTGGGGCGTAGAAATAGGAAGATGCAAAGGAACAATGGTGTTGGCAAAGTCTTCTTTGAATATCAGGGACTGAGTCAATAAAAAATAGTAGAAAGGTGGCTTTTACTATTGACAAAAGCAGGGGTCAAAAAAAGTAGTTTGTCTTAAGACTGAATATGCATTAAAGTATGCAGGTAGCAAAGATGTAATAAATTTGCTTAAAAAAAGAAATTAAAGTTTTATTTAGAATCCATTTTGCCTGTCATTGTAATTGACCCATCTGAGAATTACAATAAGCAAGAGGAAATTAAGGTGTTTTGCAAGAGCTGTATTTATATTACAGTTTTTTAAAAACATTTTCTGAATTATCATAATTAAGCTCTCCAACTCATTAAGTCAGAATATAATATGAAGTTCCCCAAGGAAATGAACAAAATGAACTCTAGAATATCTAGCAAATAGTTAAAGAAGCAATTTATTATTAGGGCATACTCGGGCTGTTTCCAAATATAAACTCTATTGCAATATCTTATTTCATCTTTCTAATACATGTACAGTACACACTAGAGGATAGAGCTGCATCACTTAAATTCATGACTTAAAAAATAATACAGTCTATATACAATTTGTGTTTTATTTGATTAAGAAGTGAAGTTTATGCCACCCAATGTATAGCCAAATTGTACGTGCTTAAAAAGCAGTGCTGAGAGTATGTTCAGTTCACAGTAAGTAGATTTATTGGAATAAATATTTTGTGGTACATCCTCAGAAATTGGCTTCCGACTAAAATACGTTTGACCCATTTTGAATAAGGGAATTGAAAAGAAAAGTTTAAAAGGAGAAAAAAAATGCATGTTTATAAACTTTTTAAATAAAACCAGACCTTGTAAGTGGACATTAATAATTGTCCTGCCTCATTTGTTTTCATGACTTTGACAACAAGAAGTTCCTGGACATTGGTCATGTATGCTCAGAATAAATGTGACTTTGAAATATGTGTTAGCTACTGTACATGTATAGTCAGTCAAGTAGAAGAGGACCTTCCTGAAATTCCCACTTGTGACATTTTCCCATGTGTTTCCTACACAATCTTAAATTTTATTTCTGTCTATACTTTCTCAAATTTTTCCTATGATAAGTTCAGTTGTTGGTACTATTCTAAAAATGTTCAACGTAATTAGGATCAGTTCTAAAATATGGGACCCTTCTGAGTGACAATTCGCACTCCATGCATTATTGGCTCAGTAACCAATTTATGTCATGTCGTTATAACAAAGGGATGACATGATTAAATATTTCCGTCTTTTTTATTCCCTGAGACTGCATCAGCACAGGCAAGTAGAGAACGTAATGTTCTTCATGGGCCCCACCAGCTTTATGGTACCATGTAATTTATTTCTTCACTGAAGAGAAAAGGAATTCTGAGACACAGTTATTAAACCCTTTATCAACTTTCTACCATCAGTGCCTGAATTCTAATGCAGTGGGATTTCTCTGGGACAAAGAGACTGAGGAAGATGAAAAGTTTCTGCCAAGAGTGAATACATACTTATTCACAGCTCTAGGATGTGAGGACTGTAAAGATCTCTTTATGCAGTTCCCTACTTAACCTCTTTCTATTTAAAGGCAAACAAATTTTGAAGAGGTTTTGTGTTCCCTCTTTGTGTTTCTCTATGACCCAGTGTAGTCTAAAACCTGAGTTCATTACATATAGAACACATAGCCTTTGATCCCTGGTAACTGGCAGGTGTAGGCGATTAATAAACCAAGGCTTCAAAGTGAAGTATGCATATGCAGATGACTTTTGGAATAATGTGGGCATAGCATCATACCTTCCTGATTGTCTTCAGCATCTAAAAATTAACTGTTACAGTTAAAATTCTGTCAGTGCAGACCTTGTGGTTACTTGGAATGTTCTTTTAGACTCGTCCATGTTGCCTATTACACCTAGTTTTAAACACATTGGGCAGTCACATTATGCACTCAAAATATCACCCTCAGGTAGATTGAGGGCAAGATGAAATGCTGTAGCTATACAAAGGAATTCAGAAACATTATTAGAAATCAAAAGCCTTTGTCAACTTGCTACATGTAAAAAGCTACTAATCAGTGTAGTCAGATGTCAACAGAAAAATACAAATACCTATGAGAGCCACAGCAGTTTTTCATTTCATAGCCGATTCAATGAATGTGATTAGAAATTCACTGAGCTCACTCTTACAGGTCTACACGGAGGCCTGCATAAGGACTGCAAAAGGAAATCTGGGTGGGAGAGAATGTAATCTGATCTTGCACTCATAGGCAATGCTGCTATGTAGTCATGCCCAACACAAGCACATCTTCATTCGTAACAGGAAAAGTCTTCCTTGGGAAAATAGCTGTATTGGTGCCCAAACTCAGGTATGCCAGTGTATGCAGGTGGAGTCGCCCTACCCCTCTTCCAGACATGTTCTATGAGACTTTTAAAATAAGGTGGGATAGTACAGGGGCAGGAAAAGAATTGATTCCGTCACAGGATTTGAATTCAGTTCTACGGAGAATGTAGAAAATTCAAAACCAACGTACAAGGTATCACACAACCAAGAAAAGTAAAACCATTGCAAGTTTACTTGCTTTCAGTACAAAACAGATTTAATGGTGTTCTATATCATAGTTTAATGCTCTCAGTATTTAAAGATGTTTTCAACAGGATTTGAATTGCAAGTCTGTAATGTGCTTTGATGGAACACCACCCAATTTCTATTCAATACATTTATGTAATTGTCCATTGACAATCTAATGATAACAGTACCATTGAACTCTAAACTGTGGTTTATCTTCGCTACTGGGAAGCAAGTGTGCATCCGTATTAAAGATATGCAGAGACATAACGTTCACTAATTTGTTCATCTGCTTCTGTCTATTGTTTATGGAATTACATGGCAAGAACTGTTGTAAAGCAACATGTCTCTCCACATTATTTTAGCGGTGAAATTACTTCTGTTTTGCTTCTCTATAATGTGTATTTCAAATGAAACACCATCCTTTTTTTAAAAAACTGATGTTCAATTTACTAATTTTTTTAAAATCTCATAATTTCAAAAGCATTTGTTGTGATTTTAAGAAAATTGCAAGAAAAGGGATTTTGTGGCCGTGGGTAGACTTTTTATACTTTGTTTTATAGATGGATTTTTTTTTAACTGTAGTTTGTTTAAGTCACCAAGCAGTGTCCAAAATCTTAATGTGTTTCATTTGATGTTGTTAGATCAGAGAAGAAATTGGCATAAAATCGGTTAATAGTATTGTCAAAGAATTGTGTATTGTGTACTCACTGGGAAAAAATAAAATATATTCACATTTCAAATTTGTAGAAAAGCCATTTATGTAAACCAAACTTGTTTGTAGACATGCCAGAACAAGACCAGGTGCCACTTTTAGAACTCTGCATTAATATTTTGTGACTAAATGCATAATCTGTTTCTCATTCAGTTATGGTTTGAAGAGTGACAAATAGGAATTGGTGTTGACATGTAGAAGTGACTAACAGACACTGATGAAGAACATAGCAAGCACTTGAAATATAGACCCCATTCTATCAGCACTGCTACTTTCCCCATACCATGAAGATCTTTAGACAGATTTAAAACAAATATCTTATTTTTGAAAGTATAAGTAAAGCAGAAAATTGAGGGAAAATGAATTTTTCTCAATTACTTTAGAAGAGCTAATTATAAATTTCTTTTATTTTGGATGTTTTATGTTGGATATTGAAAAGTTATCTCAGGGACTGAGGAGAGAAGAAAAATGCCCTATTTTATTACATTTTATAAATATTTTATTTTTTTTTCACTGCTAAGTACAACTATAGGCTCAATTTTTTTTTCCAAAAATAAAGAGAGGCAATTTCTGTGTTCTTTAAAATAATAATACTAATGACAGGAAAAAGGAAAAAGATTATTGTTAAATCCTGAAACGCTCATTTAAAAATATTTTTAAAAATACAAGGTTTAGGACAACACATTTTAGAGTTTCATTTAATTTATTATTAATAAGGTAAAAAAATAATATTACTATAAAGACAAATGATGTTGCATTAATGTAATACTGGAACAAAATATATACGAATTAAAGATGAAGTATGTCAATATGATAAATGGTAGGACAATTATGAAACAACTGCGCCTTTATGGAATTTGTGTATAAAATGGAAAAAGTGTAAAATTATCAGAAAGGTTTATTAAAGTAACACACTACAATCTCTCGATTACTGGATAGATTAGCTGGAGAAAAGATATATTAATGTTGCACAAAGCGTTTGAACAAGAAACCTCCGTTTTGTAAAATGTGATTTTATCTCTTCCACAGAGGAGACAGGCAGAGTTCACACTAAACTTCATTTCGTGGGAAAGATGCGAAATAAAACTGTACAATAATACAAAACCAAGTTTTAAAAGTTCAAAACAATACTCCAGTACAAAAGCTAGCAGGGAAGGGAAGAGAATCTGTTATTTCCAAAAGTTTGTAAAGATTCTTTTCACTTTGATGAATTTAATGCAGGCTCAGTTTTGACCTTCAACTTCTTAGGCACAGACAAAAAGTCTGACCTGTAAGAGTGCTGCAAAGCTGTCAAGAATCCCAAAGACAGATGCAAGACAATTATCCAGCTGTGTGTTTAATATGAAGAACTAGGTGACTGGTCTCTGCATCTTCCAGTCAAAACATTTTCTCCTTGAGGTAGTTGAGCTATAAGAGAAAATAAACAAACACAAAAAAAACCCAGCTGGGCACTGTGGCTCACCCCTGTAATCTCAGCACTTTGAGAGGATGAGATGGGTGAATCAAGCCCAGGAGTTTGAGATCAGCCTGGACAACATGGCAAAGCCCCGTCTCTACAAAAAAAAAAAAAAAAAAGCAAAAACTAGCCAGGCATGGTGGCACGCATCTGGAGTTCTACCTACCAGGGAGTCTGAGGCAGAAGGATCACTTGAACCCGGGAGGTCCAGGTTGCAGTGAGCAGTAATCGTGCCACTGCACTTCAGTCTGGGTGACAGAGTGACACCTTGTCTCAAGTAAATAAATACATACATACATAGAAAAAGAAAAAAGGGAAATACATGTATGTTTCCAAGACATCTGATTATCTATTACCAAAATATTATCAAGATTTATATACGCATGTATTGCAGATATCTTAGTAATCAAGGAAAGCTACCTTTGTGAGTCAAATAGAATGATCCTGTGGCTCATGTCAATATTCATAACCAGAAATTTGAAGGCCACTGCAACTGTTCTTAAACCGTAGTACCATAGCATCCTTCACCTAGAAAATGCCTTGATGGATATAACCTCTGGGTCATAGACAATATTTTTTTGGACAAATTTTAGAAAAAGTGTTTTTTTTCTAGACAACACTTCTGAGTAATTTGTTTCTAACAAATCTGGGTTTTTGTTTTTTATTCATTTACTTTGCAAGCAAATTTTGAGACACTGTGCTAAGAATTAAATATTCAGATAAGTAAAAACAGCAATAACCTTTGCCTTCATAAATAAATAATATATTCTGTTAATTCCTTCCCTGATTTCTTGCCTAGAAATTTTTCATGAATGTTTTGAAGCCAAGAGCCAAGAGCCAATAAGCAAGACCTTCAAATAGATTTCCAAGCAGTAAAATTTGTATTAGCTTCACTCAAACCCTCCATACCCACCATAAAATCTATGTTCTAGTCTTTCTCAAAAGTAGTCTACAGGATTTTAATGGTATTTTTTAAAGATAATGACACTGAAGTTCCATAGTTGAAAATATGAAGAAATTTCTTTACTACTTGAATCCTTTACACCTCTGTTCAAATCTTATATGACATAAAATCCTCTGTCCTGGAGCATCTTATGAAACAGGACTATGTAAAATCCACTTTGAAATATAGTCTCCTAGGAAGTATCATGCTTTATCCTGCCCCTAGACTCTCTCTTAGTGGCCCCAAAGGCTTTGCACGCCATGTCTCACTGTGGTCTTTTAAAAATCAATATTAAGTCATGGGAAAGAATCATTCAAATTCTAGGTATACTGTGCAGATGATAAAAGAAAAGTGCAGTGAGAGATTCATTAATTAAATTATGTTTCCAAGCCTTATTTGAGATCAGTGCTCAGTCCTGCAGCAACAGGTATGATTGCATCGTGTTCTTTAGTTTTTCTACAATGCTTTTGTGTATTGTCAGCTCTTGAAATCATTAGGCTAAAACTAAAGCATGGGCCGGGCGTGGTGGCTCACACCTGTAATCCCAGCACTTTGGGAGGCCAAGGCGGGCAGATCACGAGGTCAGGAGATCGAGACCATCCTGGCTAACACCCGTCTCCACTAAAAATACAAAAAACTCGCCGGGCGAGGTGGCGGCGCCTGTAGTCCCAGCTCCTCGGGAGGCTGAGGCAGGAGAATGGCCTGAACCCAGGAGGTGGAGCTTGCAGTGAGCCGAGCTCGTGCCTCTGTACTCCAGCCTGGGCCATAGAGCAAGACTCTGTCTCAAAAATAAATAAATAAATAAATAAATAAATAAAATAAAAATAAAGCATGGAAATACACCTACTATCTCCTCCCACCCCTAGCTACAGATCTTCAATCAGATTTCAAAAGTATAATATATTTTGAAAGATTTCACAAAAAGATAATTTTTTAAAAGCTACTGTCTGATTATTAATAAGTTCTACCTGAAGTGATACTTAAAATAGTAGTGAGTAACACGAAATGTAGGAAAAGGGGGCTTATAGTTTCTCATTAAGATAATACAGAGATAAGTACCAGTGGAATTTGAAATACAGCTAACTAGTAATGACGAAAATTCATATATTCAGAAATGGCTAAATATAGAAGTAAAAAGGGAAGACAAGGATAACCATTACATGAACTTTCACTGGCTATGAGGACAAAAGAAGTGAGAGAAGTTAAAGTGGGATGTGAGAAGTAAGAGTTTAAATTTACTTGATTAATTTTGAATGATGGTAGACTGATGCAATCAATATATTAACATGTCCCAACATAGGTAATGTGAGAACAGTTACGGATGGGCAATGAATGGTTATTCTAATGAAAAAGAGGGAACAGACAAATGGTGGCAGTCTGAACAAAGGACACACTAGAATACTATCTATGCAACTTAAGAGAAGGAACTACAACATTCTCAATAACTGTGCAAGCATCTCTTGTGCAAATAACCACCCACCAAGAATTAAGACACTGTTTCTATCAATGTTGGTGATGCTATGTTTTTCTATCTTATACTACTACTATACTAAAAATGTATAAAACAAGTCCCATATACTTATGACAACAGAGTGTACATTTAAAGAAATATGTGTGTTAAATGTCCATAGGAACGAATTCCCACTACAATCATTTGAATAGTTACTATTTAAAAGTTGAAGCTCATGCACAAAGATATTTTAGATTTGTTCTAATATTCCAAGTAAAAAGAATTATAAAACTTAAAATGTAGTAAGTAGCCAAAAAATGTATTAGGAGATACACACATATATGCATACTCATGCACATATACAAATATAGAAATGTACATACGTAAAAATAATTTTCATTCATTAGAATCCATCCAAGATAGGATGGGGACTGAAAATACCCATATTTGCAAAGTATGGAAAAAGTGAAACCTAACAAGAACTATGGGGATTGAGACAAATATCATAGGCTGAATAATACTTCAAATAATCTCTATTTCTCCTAGGCAAATTACATGGGTGCATTTACATGTATACATATGTATACTTACACTTATGTACACATGCAGAGTCATCCTTCAAGATCCACAAAGGATTGGTTCCAGAATTCCTACCAAAATCAGTGGATGCACCTTAAATAAAACGGTGTAGCATTTGCATATAACCTACGAGCACCCTCCTCTATACTTCAAATCATCTCTTCATTACTTACAGCATCTAACACAACGT